TCAGCAACTAGGGCAGACGCAGCAGTGGACTCAAAGGAAGGGTCAATGACAACAGTAGCAAGGAGGCGCGTGACCGAAGGACTAGCAGCACGAAGGGAGTCAGACTCTGGGTCAGCAAGAGTAGGAGGAGAAGACTCTTGAGGAGACGGCAACGGGACACGCAGAGGAGCAGTGGAAGGACGCAGTGCCATCTTGTGTTTGCCGGGGACCCCAGGAGGACGAGGACGCGCAGCACGACGATTAGTGCAAGCAGCACGAACAGGCGACGCAGGACGAGATGCAGGCTTACGACGCTCAGCAAGACCTCCAGTAGGACCAGTGTAGGGAGAAGGAGCAGGTAGAGTGGAGGCGGGCTGTAACTGGGACTGCGACTGGACAAGCTGTGGACACTCGAAGGGAGGAGCAGGACCAGGAGAGGGCGGGAGACCAAGAACCTGCTCTAGGAGCGGAACGAAGTACGGCCTCGGCCGCTCAGCGCCTCCAGAACCAGCAAGGACAGCACCAGTACCCCCAGCAGCAGCACCACCGCCAGCAGCACCTCCAGCTCCACCAGCGCCAACTCCAGTACCCTCAGAAGCACCAGCGCCAGCAACATCGCCCGCGCCAAAACCCCCAGCAGCTCAAGCTCCAACAGCACCAACGCCAGTAGGACCGTCAGCTCTAGCAGCCTTAGCAGCACCCCCAGATGCACCAGCGCCTGTAGAAACACCAGCGCCAACACCCCCAGCAGCTCCAGCTCCAGCAGCACCAGCACTGCCAGCACCTCCAGTAGGACCAACTCCAGTAGCCCCTGCAGCACCCCCAATCGCAGCAGCACGACTCCAGCGGCGGGCAAACAACTCGCGCAGCTCCTGTTGAGAGAGGAGCTCCCGCCTCGGCGAAGCACCGCCGGCGGCCACATGAGCAAACCCAGCGCCCCCAGGCTCGGCACCCCCAGGCTCAGCACCCCTAGGCTCAGCACCCCCAGACTCAGCACCCCCAGGCTCAGCACCCCCAGTCTCAGCACCCCCAGACTCAGCACCCCCAGACCCGGCACCCGCAGACTGAGCACCTCTAGCAGCACCAGAGTCAACAGCTACCTCGACAGGCTCGACTGCGTCTACCTGGGACACACTTGACGGGGCAGGACCCTGAGGGGGGAGGGGGTCTATCGGGGGAGAACCTTGCACGACAGAAAGCTCCCAGACGGGCAGAGGAAAACTCCCCGCCTCTGTCCGAGTGCAGACGTAGAACAGGAAAGTCCGAGCCGAAACTCTCTCGGAGCTGGAGACGAGCTGCGCCGATCCAGTCGATCAACACCTCAGGGACGTCACCCTTGCTGTGCAAGGGTCTTGCTGCGCAAGGGGAAGACTGTGGTGTAACGCGAGTAGTCGTCAACCACCAGCAGAAAGTACCGCTCTCGCCCCTGCCCACTGACGCGGGCTAGGCCCCACACGTCCATGTGTAGAGTCTGCAGCGGAGCCTCTGTCGGAGGAAACTCGAAGGAGTGAGGGGCGGCGCGCTGTCTTCCCTCGACGCAGGAGACGCAAGTAGGGCCAGGCCCCGGAGGAAGGGGAGGGAGAGACCGAGGAAGATCAGAGACAAGGACACGGGAGGCCATGCCTCAGAGACGAGGCAAGGAGGGGTGACCAGGGCGGTGGTGCCAAAGGAGAGTCTGGTGGGACAGCAGACGACACGAGCAGGGGGCAGACTTAGGACCAGACCTGGACGCCGCAGCAAATACCTGACTCGACGCAGCTACCTGGGCAGACTCAGCAGTAGGAGGAGACTCAGTGGTAAGGGTGTACTAGCTTGACTCAGCAGCATCCCAGTGTACCTTTCGGTGACGACCAGGAGCCACGTAGCGAGCCAGAAGGCCAAGAGGGTATGCTAGGTCAGGACGAGTGCAAGTCATCAGGTACATGAGGCAACCAACTAGCTCTAGGTAAGGACCACTCGACTGTACAGACTCATCCAAAGGCAGAGCTGAGAGCGAGTGTCCTATAGCCAGAGGAGTGGCCTGTGCTGAGGACCAGGTCAAGCCGAAGCGCTGAAGGACCTGCTCCACCATGTGCGACTGAGTCAGGGTAATGGTGCGGCGTGCTCTGTCCCGGGTGATTTGCAAGCCAAGGTAGCTGCGCAGCTCACCTAGGTATGTGCACGTGTGTCTCTTATGCAGCTCCGACTTCACGTGGGCAAGAGACTCAGTGTCAGCTGTGGCAAAGTCCAAGTCGTCGACGTACCCGAGGATGTAGAACGGCGGCAGCGAAGTGTCGGTGCGTAGAAACAGCGACGGGTCATCAGTAGAAGGAGAGAACCCAAGTGCCGCAAGAGTAGTCCTCAGTGTGTCGTGCCACTCGCGTGGCGCCTGGCGGAGACCGTAGACTGGCCGCCGGAGGCTCCACTGGGTACCAGGAGGGAGCGACCCAGTGAAGCCAGGAGGGCGGCGCAGCCAGATCTCCTCGTGCAGACTGCCCTGCAAGAAAGCTGTGCTGAAGTCAAGAGAGTGAAGCTCGTAGTCGCGCTGAGCAGCAACGTGTAGTAGTATCCGAAGAGTGGTCATCTTCGGGGTGGGGGAGAAGGTCTGGAAGAATTCGACTCCCTCTCGCTGACTGAAGCCTCGAGCAACGTAACGAGCTTTGAAGACAGGCGGAGAACCCGGCGGCCGCTTCACCCTGAAAATCCACATGCCACTGACGATGTTCGCCCCAGGTGGGGGAACATCGTCGACATAGGTGCCTGTGGACTTCCAGGAAGCCATCTCTGCGTCCATGGCTGACTGCCACTGAGAGGAGTAGGGACCCTCGATCGCCTCAGCTTACGATCGAGGAGTCGGGATGTCTTGTGCATCCGGGTCTCCCTCAGGGGCAACTAGCATGGACACAAGATGGGGTGCAGCGGTTGCAAGACACTCAAGATCCTCCTGTCTGTCCTCAAGGACGTCCGTGCTAAGAGCACACTCACCCGCGACACACGGAGGACAGACAGACTCAAAATCACCGACAAGACTGGCAGCGTAGTCTAGACGACAGCGAGCAGCGAAGTCGACAAGCTCAGCAACTTCTGCAGACGCTGCAGCAGACTCAAAAGAAGGGTGAGTGATAGCAGTGGCCAGGAGACGCGTGACAGTAGGACTGGCAGCACGAAGAGAGTCAGACGTGGGGTCAGCAAGAGGAGGAAGAGAGGACCGAGGAGGGGACGGCAGAGGGACACGCTGTGGAGCAGTGGAGGGACGCAGTGACTTCCAGTGTGTGCCAGGGACCGGTGGCGGACGCTCACGCGGAGGACGGCGATTGGTGGAACTAGTACGAACAGGGGACTCAAGACAGAACACCGGCGACACAGGGCGAGACTCAGGCTGACGACGCTCTGTGAGACCGCCTGTAGGACCAGTGTAGGGAGAAGGAAGAGGAAGTGGCGAGGCAGGTGGTAGCTGTGACTGCGACCGGACCGGCGGTGGACACTCTACAGAGGGAGGGGGACAAGGCGGAGGTGACTGACCAAGAACCTGCTGAAATAGTGGAACAAAGTACGGCCGTGGCCGTGAGGTGCCCCCTGTAGTAGCAAAGACAGCACCAGAATCTCCAGCAGCTCCAGCAGCACCCCCAGCACCTCCAACGCCCAGGTCTGCTTCACCAGCAGCAGCTCCAACGCCCGGGTCCGCAGCACCAGTAGTACCCCCAATGCCAGGGTCCGCAGCACCAGTAGTAGCTCCTACGCCCGGGTCCTCAGCACCAGCACCAGCTCCAACGCCCGGGTCTGCAGCACTAGCAGCAGCTCCAACGCCCGGGTCTGCAGTACCAGTGGTAGGGTCCGCGACACTAGGAGCGCCACTCCTGAGACTCCAGCGCCGTGCGTACCACTCATGAAGACGCTGGGGAGAGGGCAGCTCCCGCCTAGGTGAGGAAGCACGAGCACCAGCTCTAGTAGCACCCCTAGCTCTAGAAGCACCGCTCCTGAGGCTGCAGTAATATAAGTACCACTCACGCAGCTGCTGTGAGGAGAGAGCTCCTCCAGGTGTAGCACTCCCATGCTCAGCACCCCCAGACTCAGCACCCCCAGACTCAGCACACGCAGGCTCCATACTCCCGGGCTCAGCACCCCCAGTCTCCGCAACCCCAGGCTCCGCACGCGCAGGCTCAGCACCCCGAGCAGGACGAGAGTCGACAGCTACCTCGACAGGCTCAACCGGGTCTACCTGGGACACACCTGAGGGAGCGGCACCCTGTGGGGGGAGGGGGTCTACTGCAGCAGCACCTGGCGCAAGGAAGAGAGGCGGGGGAGGGAGCGGGGCAGTGCGGTAGGGGAAGAGGCGATAGAAGGGTACCTACTCGTCAAAGGTGACGTCCTGAGAGGCGAGGACACGGCGCGAGGCGGTGTGGTAAAACTGCCAACCAGACGCGTCCGGGACAAAGCCGAAGAAGACACACGGAACAGCAAGGGAGGAGAGCTTGTCCGCTGACGTATCGCGAACAAAAGCCCGAGATCCCCAGACCCGGAAACGCGACGCATCGCCAACCTCTCCCATCCAACGCAGTGTCGGGGAAGTCCCCGGCCAGAGACTAGGAACCCTGGAAAGACCAGAGACAAGGTACCGTTTGTGCATTGCCCGAAGGTGGCCAAGGCGGTGGTGCCAGAGGACCGTCTTGTGCGCCAAAGAGCGGCACGAGCAGGGGGACGACAGCTGACCTGACGCAGACGCAGACGCAGCTACCTGAGGGGACTCAATAGTCAGTGTTTACAGGTCCGACCCTGGCTGCCGTGTGACGGTCGCTAGGTGACGGCCCGTCCGAGCACACGTGCAGTGTGTCACGCGCTCGTAGGCAGGGGTGATTTGGTGGACACCCCTGTCCTGGAGCGCACTACCCGCCACCAAGTTCGTAGAGAACGAGGGTTTAGGTCAGTGTGTACAAGTCCGACCCCGGCTGCCGAGTGAAGGTAGCCAGGTGACGACCCGTCCAGGCACATGTGTAGTGCGTCACACGCTCGTAGGTCGGGGTGAACTGGTGAATACCCGCGTCCTAAAGTGCGGAGCCCGCCACCAAGTTTGTAGAGAACGAGGGGAGGTAGAGACCAGACAGTGTGCCCGACGGGACGGCCGGACAGGGGAGGACAGTGGAGGAGGTCGCAAGGACTGGACCCCCAGAGGGGCCAGCGAGAGAGACTGCAACGGGCCGAGCAAGCTGCTCAAGAGCCGTGCGGTCACGAAAGAAACAGCGGGAGGCACCTGAGTCTAGTCTAAAGGTGTGGAGTGCCTCAGTCGACTCAGTAACAGGGGACGCAGACGCACCAGCACCTAAAGCAGCAGCCTCACCAGCACCTGGGGTAGCAGACACTCTAGCACCTAGAGCGGTAGCCTCACCGGGTCGAATGCCCGGGTCGGGTGGAACACTCAGGTACTGGGCACCCTCTCCACTAATAGACATCACATACATGGCAGAGAGAATAGCATCAAAGTCTAGAGCAAAGATATCAATGTTTTGCTTCATCAGATCAGCCCAGCGGCGCAGCTCTGTGGCGTCAGGGAACTGAGTACGCCAAGCGTCGTCAAGGCGGGACAAGCAGCGCTGCGTGGGTTGCGCCCTCCCACACGTCTGACCAGTGCGGTCACCAGTGCGGATGACGTACGTGCAGCTAAGGCCACCACCCCCCCCCCGTGCCAAGTGTACCACTCACGGAGCTCCTAAGGCGACGGAGAGTGCTGTGGGCTCTGGCCACCGCAAGTGCCTCCACGACCACCACTGCCGCCACCACCGCCTCGACCACCTCGTCCCCTGCCGCCGCCGCGTCCACCGCCGCCCCCACCACCGCCCCCGCCTCTGCCACCGCCCCCGCCGTTGCCGCCACCACCCCCACCGCTGCCACTAGCCCCACCAGTCCCACCACCACCCCCACCGCCGCCACCACCCCCACCACCGCCTCCCCCGCCGTCACCTCCGCCTCCCTTGCCCCCTTTGCCCTTGCCACTGCGGCGCCAGCTCAAAGCAGACGCAGTTCTGACCTTCTCAGCACCAAGGAGGTCGACAGCAGAAGCAGAGGCTACAGAGGGAAGAAGGGGGGAAGGGGAACACCCCTTGAAGAAAGGGGTGCGGGGGTCTCCACGAGAGGCACCTACAGCGACTATGCTAGCCTCAACTGCAAGTAGTTCCTTCTCGAGGAGGGCAATGGTGAGCTCAGTGGGGCAGCAAGCTAGGAAGTGATCCCTGACAGCATGCAGAATGTCACGGAGGCGGGTGACTAGATGGTAGAGAGTGAGCCAGAGTAGGGGGGGGTGTGTGGCAAGAAACTCATCGGGCATGGCGGCACGGAAGCGGGCCTCACTAGTACGGAGGTGCGTGATGAGGTCAGCGACTGTTTGGAACGAGGCCAGGTCGGGAAACAGGTAGGGGAGTGAGAGACGGCCTAGCGTGGCAGAGGCAGGTGAGGAGTAGCGGGCAATGACAGCGGTGTACAGTGCCTGTGCAGTCTTGTGCTGGCCAAAGTGCTCGCGCTCGTCTATCGGCAGGGAATTGCGAATAGCGAATTGAGCGTGGGCGTCACGAGTCTGCCACTGTGAGCGGGCAGTGCTGTCAGCAGTAGCAGCAGGAGCACTAGCATGGCCTAGGGCGTGATCGTACAGTGAGATGTCCTCCTTGGCAGTGAGCTGTAGGAAGAGGTGTAGGTCATCTAGCCAGGTGTCGAACTTCACTGGGCGGCCCTCAGCATCGAAAGCGCGTGGGGTCGACGGGGCCAGCGGGGCCGCTAAGGGGCGGCGTTTGGGGTCGACGGGGCCGACGGGGCCGCTAAGGGGTGAGCGCGCGGGGTCGACGGGGCCGACGGGGCCACTAAGGGGTGGGCGCGCGGGGTCGACGGGGCCAGCGGGGCCACTAGGGGGCGGCTCGTGGGTCACTAAGGGCCTTGGGGGGCCGTGAAATCAAGGCGCACGAGGGCGCTAGGGGGAGGCGCTCGAGGGCGCTCCGAAGGTAGGGCGCACGAGGGCGCTAGTAAGTAGCAGTAGTGGTGGGCCCTAGGAATTGGTCCTAATGGAGGACCTGCTCTGATTCCATGTTACGAACAAGAAGTGATTGAACTATGAAAGTTGGAGTACAAGTAGGAAACCCTATTTTTGTGTACCCCCTAAAGGCTAACCCACTATAGCCTACACAACAATAACACATATAGTGTTTGACGTGGAGAGTCTGCAGCGGAGCCTCTGTCGGAGGAAACTCGGAGGAGGGAGGGGCGGCCCGACCGCCGAGCTGCCCTGCAGCCGAGCCACCGAGCCGCATTGCAGCCGAGGCGCTGCCGCCCGTCGGCCTGCCCGGGACCACCCCACTTGCCTAGTAAGACAAGCGTCTCTGCCACTGCACTGCCCTGCCCCACTGTACTCACTACCTGTCTACTGCAGTCATGGCCTCCCCTAGTGTTCTCACCTTTGACGCTTAGGGTTGGGGAGTTGACTTTGAGGTCTGGGTAGATGATCTGCAGCTTTTCCTACAGTGCGATAGGGCAGATCATCTCTCCCAAACGAGGGCGGGGCCAACTCCTGTCAACACAAACTCTGTGATGGATGGACCCCTGCTCAAGGCCAAGAGGTAAGGGGAGCATGAGGAGGGAAAGAAAGAGGTCGTGGAGGCCGTGGCGGTCTTAGAGGTGGTGCTGCAAACATGAAGGGCGAAGACAATGACAATGACCCGAGAGACGATTGGTTCCCGGTGACGAGAAGTGAGAATGGATGAATGAACTATGAAACAGTTGGGTACAAGTACTAACCCGAATTAGGTTGTACTCCTTATGGGCTACCCCACTACAGCCTACACAAAAGTATAAGCTATAATGTTCTAACACACCCCCATAGGCAAAGTGGGGGAGAACAAGTGGTCACAAGACCAGTCAAGCAAAGCAAAGCAAGCTCAGGGTGGATCACAAAGTCACCACACAGTCCGAGCACAAGAGTAAGGCCACAAGGCCAGTTCACATGCAAGATCATATATATAAAGGTAGACAAGCAAGTGCAGGTATAGAAAGAGGACAGTACAAACAAGATCAAGAAGTGAGCAAGAGAGGCCAGGTAGGCACACGACCTAGCAAAGTACAAAAGCGCTGATGATCACAAGGCGGAAGGGCCTTGGTGAAGATATCAGCAGTGTTGGCCTCAGAGGCCACGTAGGTGAGGCGGAGCTGACCACGCTGCTGCAGCTCACGAGCCAGGAAGTAGCGGAGAGCAATGTGCTTCGTTCTATGCTCCCGACACAAGGCCAGCATGGCCTCGTTGTCTACGTACAGAACTAGAGGAGAACGAGGCTGCTCTCCTAGGTCAGTCAGCAGGTAGGTGAGCCAGCGTAGCTCCTGTGCAGCCATGGCCCCTGCGTAGGTCTCAGCCTCACAGCTAGAGCTGAGAACAGAAGACGAGCGGGTAGACCACCACAAAACAAAGCCGGAGCCAAGGCTGAAGGTGTAACCCTGTGACGACCGTTGCGTAGCCTGGTCGTCAGCCCAAGAAGCGTCAGCGTGACCTGTGAGGACTACTCGACGTCGCCATCCAAGCACTAGCCCCATGCCCGACGTACTGCACACATAGCGCAACACCCTCTTTGCTGCAGCCATGTGCTCAGGTCGGTGTCTCCCACGAGCAACATAGCGTGCCAAGATGCTAAGAGGGTATGCAAGGTCAGGTCGTATGCAGGTCATCAGGTACATGAGGCAACCAACAAGCTCTGGGTACGGGCCACTCGACTCTACGGACTCATCCGAAGGCAGAGCTGAGGGCGAGTGGCGAGTAGACAGAGGAGTGGCCTGAGGCGAGGAGTACGTGAAGCCGAAGCGCTGAAGGACCTGCTGCACCATGTGTGACCGAGTCAGAGTAATGGTGCGGTGTGCTCTGTCCTGGGTGATCTGCAAGCCAAGGTAGCTGCGCAGTTCACCCAGGTCTGTGCACGTGTGTCTCTACTGCAGCTCGGACTTCACGTGGGCGAGTCCAGCAATGTCAGCAGTGGCAAAGACCAAGTCGTCGACGTACACGAGGATGTAGAATGGCGGCAAAGAAGTGTCGGTGCGCAGAAACAGCGACAGGTCGGCTGTAGAAGGAGCAAACCCAAGAGCCGCAAGTGTAGTCCTCAGTGTGTCGTGCCACTCACGGGGCGCCTGGCGGAGACCGTAGACTGGCGGCCAGAGGCTCCACTGGGTACCAAGAGGAAACGACCCAGTGAAGCCAACAGGGCAGCGCAGCCAGATCTCGTGCAGGCTGCCTTGCAGGAAAGCTGTGTTGAAGTCAAGAGAGTGAAGCTCGTAGTCGCGCTGAGCGGCTATGTGCAGCAGCACCCGAAGAGTGGTCATCTTCGAGGTGGGAGAGAAGGTCAAGTAGTCAACTCCCTGCCGCTGACTGAAGCCTCGAGCCACGTAACGCGCCTTGAAGACAGGCGGAGAGTCCGGCGGCCGCTTCACCCTGAAAATCCACATCCCACTGACGATGTTCGCCCCAAGTGGGGGAACCTCGTCGACGTAGGTGCCTGTGGACTTCCAGAAAGCCATCTCTACGTCCATGGCTGACTACCACTGAGAGGAGTAGGGACCCTCGATCGCCTCAGCGTACGATAGAGGAGTCGGGATGTCTGGTGCATCCGGGTCTCCCTTAGGGGCAATCAGCGTGGACACAAAATAAGGCAAAGCAGCCGCAAAGCACTGGAACTCCTCCTGCCTGTTCTCAAGGACGTCCGTGCTAAGAGCACACTCATCCCCGACGGACGGAGGACAGACAGACTAAGACTCAGCAACAAGACTGGCAGCGTAGTCTAGACGACAGCGAGTAGGGTTGTTGACAAGCTGAGCAACTAGAGCAGACACAGCAGTGGACTCAAAGGAAGGGTCACTGACAACAGTAGCAAGAAGGCGCGTGACCGAAGGAGTAGCAGCACGAAGGAAGTCAGACTCCGTGTAAGCAAGAGAAGGAAGAGAGGACTCTGGAGGAGACGGCAAAGGGACACGCAGAGGAGCAGTGGAAGGACGCAGTGCCATCTGGTGTGTGCCGGGGACCGCAGGAGGACGCGGACGCGCAGCACGTCGACTAGTGCGAGCAGCACCAACAGGCGACGCAGGACGAGACGCATGCCCACGACGCTCAGCAAGACCTCCAGTAGGACCAGTGTAGGGAGAAGGAGCAGGTAGAGGGGAGGCTGGACATGCTGTGGACACTCTAAGGGAGGAGCAGGACCAGTAGAGGGCGGGAGACCAAGAACCTGCTCCAGGAGCGGAAGTACGGCCGCGGCCGCGCAGCGCCTCCAGAACCAGCTGCGGAGATAACTGCTACAACGGGAGCTAGACTACTGGTTAGGCACGTGTGCTCGTGTGATCTCTGCGTTCGTTGGTCCTTAGGCGTTTTCCTAGTGCTCACACTGCTTGCTAGTTCACGGGGCAATTTGGCAAGAGTTTCACTAAGAAAAGATGACAACAATGATACAATGAAGTTGGCAATGCGAGACTACATCAGAGCTAGCATTCAGGTTGGTAGATTGCCAGCACAGCATGGTCGACCGCGTTCCAGCACGACTTGGTCGACCGTGCTCCAGCAGTGCAAAGTCGACAGCTTGGCAACGCTTCAGGTCGACGGTATGCCAGCAGTGCACCCGCTTTGCAGGTGCGTGCAGATGATTGGTATGCCGAGTCTCATCACCTGCACAGCACACACACACCACGTCAGCCTCGAGCTGACGGCTGCCATGACGACCCCGGGATACCATAACCGAGGTCGGTCTCGCCAACTTCGCCTGGGCGACTGTCGCACTCCTCCGCAGCACTTCGTCACCCAGGTAACCTGGTCGACCGGGCAACCTCATCGACCAGCAACTCCCGTACGTGCCCGTCGACCTCCCAAGTCGACGACCACCTCGTTGTTGACCTCACCGGGTCGGCCATGCCCCTCGGTCGACGACCACGATGTGAAAACAAAGAACGAGAATGGAATGACTATGAACGAAGTGAGTACAAATAGGAAACCCTAATTGGGTTGTACCCCCTATGGGATACCCCACTATAGCCTACAGAAACAAGTAAGCTATAAGTTCTGACACACCCCCATAGGCAAAGTGGGGGAGAACAAGGGGTCACAAGACCAGTCAAGCAAAGCAAAGTAAAGCTCAGGGTGGATCACAAAGTCACCACGCATTCCGAGCACAAGTTCAAAGGCCACAAGGCCAGTTCACATGCAAGATCATATATAGAGATATACAAGAGCAAGAGTCTATATATGCGAAAGTACAAGCAAGGTCAAGAGGAGAGCAAGTGAGGCAAGACAGGCACAAGACCCAACTGCGTGCAGCAACGCTGATGATCACAAGGCGCAAGTGCCTTGGTGAAGACATCAGCAGTGTTGGCCTCAGAGGCCACGTACGCAAGTCGCAGCTGTCCACGCTGCTGTAGCTCACGAGCAAGAAAGTAGCGAAGAGCAATGTGCTTCGTTCTGTGCTCCAGTCGCTGCTCTCGACACAAGGCCAGCATGGCCTTGTTGTCTACGTACAGGACTGGAGGAGAACGAGGCTGCTCTCCAAGGTCGGTCAGCAGGTAGGTGAGCCAGCGTAACTCCTGTGCAGCCATAGCCCCGGCGTAGATCTCAGCCTCACAACTGGAGCCGAGAACAGAAGACGAGCGGGTAGCCCGCCACGAGACAGAGCCGGAACCAAGGCTGAAGGTGTAACCCTGTGACGACCGCTGCGTAGCCTGGTCGTCAGCCC